ACCTATGTTTCAGTCTTGCCACAAGCCACTGAAGGCTTGGGGATTTGTTCTGCATTCTGTCCCCTAACCCTCCTGGTGGCCAGTGTGCTGCCTGACTCCGTGTCCCTCCTCTGTTCCACCTCAGGGTAAAAATGCCTCAACCGTGAATAAGAATGAGACCAGTGTGGTGTGGACCATCCAGGCAGGCTTGCTGGATAAGCAAGTGTAGCACCCAGTGCCTGTCTTCCTGGGCAGAGACCACCGCCCCCCGCCATGTCTCCATGTTCCTGGACATGTACAGAACTTTTCCACTACTGAAAAGGTGCTGGATCTGTTGATTCCAAGGTGAGCACCCTGCCTCTCCACAGCCCCACTGAATTTGGCCACTTACAGGCTTTGAGTCTTGGAAATGTCACCAAACCTCCCCAAGTCTCAGTCTGTTCCTCAGATGGGGGCAGAGTTATTATAGGGACCCAGTGGGGCCCTGCAGGGAAAGTGCACCTGGCATTGTGGAACGGTCTGCTGGCAGGGCTGTGGCTGTGCTGGGTTATTATTGTCCTCTTCCCCATGATGACGTTTCTGCCTCATCTGTCACTGTCACCAGGTCTTGAGCTGGGCCATTTTCCCATTTGAAAAGGAGATTTGAGGCTCCTTCTGGGGGTCTGAATCCTGGCTGAGACCAGAGCAGGGATCCCTGGGGGTGAGCAGGTGGCCCCAGGCCCACTCAGATATCTGTGATGGTGCTAGTTGAGGCCCATTCATTTATCAAACATACAGGAAGCTCCACCAGATGCAGGCACTTCTTTAGGAGCTGACTGTCATGCAAGGCACAGAACAGACAACACCCTGCCCTCTAGGGCTCCATTCTACACAGGGGTCAGTGACACTAGGTATGACAAGAGGTAGCATACACAGAACAGGTGATATGATGTCCTCCTGGCCTCCTCTAGGTATGGATGCATCCTTCCTGAAATGGGATGAAGATGGCAGACCCCTGGAGCAGCAGAAAATGTGAGTGGGCTTTAGACAATGCAGGAGGGTCTTCCCCCTCCAAGAGGGCAGTGGGGGGGGGGGGCGGTGAGTTGGAAGGGCTTTGGACCCTGTATCCCATACATCTGCGATTCCTTTGAGCGGGCAAAGGTCTGAGTGCTTCTCCTGGAAGAGGAGAGGGGTTTGGAGAGCCATAGATGAGGTGTGGGCACAGTGGGACAGCAGAGGGGGCCAGAGGACAGAGTCACCTCCTAAGAGAGTCCAACCCCATCCCTTCCCACTCCCAGTCCTGCCTCCACCCCCATCCTGGGACCCAGAACAAAGGGTGTGGGGAGCATCACACTCACCGATCTGGTGGCACTTCAACGGTGGGTGCTCAGCAAGTGCTTTGGAGACCCAGTGAGGGCTCAGGGACCAGATGTCCCCACCTTGTGGGAGATTAGGGTCAGTGGGGGGACACCCACATGGATGCGAAGTGAATAAAGCAACATGCAGGCGGAGGAGGTAAAGTTTGAGGTATTAGGAGGGTCCTGAGAAGCCCTGCTGAGAGACAGGTTCCTTTGTTTCCTATTTGTTCCGATATTCATGGAGCACTGGTGTATGCGGTGAGGACAATGAACCGACCAGACACCACCCCTCCCTGCCACATGGAGTTGAATTCCAGCAGGAAGTAGGCAGGCAGACAGAGCAAAGAATCCTTCTCCAAGAAGGACAGAGATGGCCCCATCATTGGTTAAGGGCTCCCATTCAAAATGGCTTTTTGCCAGACTGTCCTCAGTGACCAGGACTATCTTAGCAGGTGTGCCAAATCAGAGGTGGACAAGGAGTAGGACCAGCCTCTGGACAGCTGGAGGCATAGGAGGCCAGGTTCCCACTGGGTGCCCTGAGACATCAGTCTTGATTCTTCTGCCTACTTCTGTATTTCCAGGGCCATCTTCTCCATTCTGGGCATGTGGATGGACCAGTCCCCTGAGGATTTTTTCCAACCTGCTGAATTTCCCTGCCTGAAGATGCTGCTGGCATATGTGGGGCTTAACATGCTGGGCTCACACCTGGAGCACCATACGTCTGTTTTCCTCTCATAGCTAGGACACATGGAGCCCAATGAGCCAGAGGTTGAGAGTGAGGAGAACTCAGGGTGGGTGATGTGAGCATGTGGAGGGGACAGGGTAGGCCACACAGAACAAGTATCCTTAAGCTGTGTTTGGATCAGGAGCCGTGAGTAGCCTCAGATAACTGTCCCCATGGTCTGCCATCCGGGGAGACTTCCTGGGGGTGGGTTCTTGGACTCAGAAGACATTGACTGGTGGGAGAGGTTTCGTTTATTTGGAAGAGACATGGAAAGGCAATCATGGGGATGATACTTTCTCTTCTTGAAGCTATAGCACCCGTTCCGGAGCAGGATCCAGAACCAACTCAAGAGCTAGTGCTAGGCACCCCAGTGCCTACTGTGGTGTCTGCTGCAGCTTCAGAGCCCGAGGTGGCTGAAGCCATCACTCCTGCTAGAGCTCAGCAATTAGGAAAAGCAGTGACCCTCCCTACAGTGTCAGAGCCAGTGTAGGTGGTAGTTATAGCTCTGATTCACTGTCAGGAGTTGGAAGAACCACCTGCACCTTTGGCAGCCCTGGAGCATGAGCAGACCCCAGCCCCAGCTACTGGGGTTACGGAAGGACTAGAACAACCACTTGCTACAGCTGAACAACCAGTCTCAGCTCCCAAGCAGTGGCTCATGTAGGCTGCAGCCCCAAAGGACGGCTTCCCCTCCCCTGTAGTTGCTTTTTTTTTTGAAATTTTTATGTTTTTTATTCAGATATGGAATGGCTTAGTGTGTTTTGTTTTATAAGTAAAGTATAAATTGACTTCAAGTAAAGTTTGACTCTGATCCTTTTAAATTGGACGTTGAAGTGTCCTTAGGTAGTTTGACAATGTTATACAACCATGACCACTAGGTACTGCTAGAACACTTCCATCACAGAGACACCTGTGCTACTGATCGGTCACTGCTCATTCCCTCACCCCAATCCCTGGAAACACTGGTCTCTCTGTTTCTGTTGCTTTACCTCTTCTGGGATTTTCATGTGCATGGAATCATTCAACATGGCCTTTTGTGTCTGGCTACATAACATGAAGGTGATTAACAATTCTTGAAATTTTTAATGAAAATAACATTTTTATTACAAAGGAATATCCCCCAAAGAACATAGATTATGTGAAGCCCCAAAATGAACTATCTTCATTATGTGGGATAGGGACACCTTTTGTAAGTTTGACTCGAGAGCCACAAACCACAAGAGAAATGTCTGGACCAGTAAAATACCTGTAAAATCTTTTATTTTCCCAGACAGGCCATGTTTAAATTAGGCTACTGGACATAGTATAAAAATACCACAATAAAATATTAAATCTTCCCATTTATTACCAATATTTTAGGTAATAAAGTATATTATTGAAGGTTTTAGATGAGTTGTTTATTTAGTAAAATAATAATTTAAGTAATGAAGATAGGTGCAGGGTGGCTCAGTTGAGCGTCCAATTCTCGATTTCAGCTCAGGTCATGCTCTCACAGTTCGTGGGACTGAGCCCCCAGTCAG